ATTTGAGCAAGTCCCAGATCATGCTGGCTCAGAGAATGCGAATAGCTATCACATTGAAGATGGAATTACAGGCGCTTCATCTGCACAGAATGTCTTGCCAGTGTTGATGGCGGTTATTGGTGGCAACCAGTTCATTGAGGACGTGGAAGTTGCAAATGTTGCTGCGCTTCCATTGGAACCACCCACTCCTGCAATCAAGCCGGTTCTTGACGGCGACTTGAATGATATCAATAATCAATCAGTTGAGGTAGTAGAAGCTGCTGGTCCTGCTATCGTTGTCAATAATGATTTTGTTGATAGCCAAGGTAAGCCACTCAGAATTTACATCCCTTGTGAGAAGACAAATACTGATGTTCAATTTCCCAATACAGATCCAACAGTTGAGATTTTGATTAATGGAGCAGATTGCGTGGAGCTTGCTGCTTCCGTATTCAATGAAAACACGGAGGATAATACTTTGGCCGTGGCAACAACTGAATTGTCTATCGATGTTCCAGAAGTTTTCCATTTGGCCTTCGCATCATTGGCTACACCAGATGAAGATGATAATTTAAAGGTGGTAGTAGAAGTATCCGAAGAAGAAGTAACCGAACCAATCGGAAGCGATATCTCAACTCCTGCTTCGATCCAAATCCCCTCGGCTGAGCTTTCACAGATTTTTGAAGCCGAATTACAATCATCTGAGGAATCCATCAGTAGCATCGATGGTTCTGCCATCCAGGATGAATCAATCACTTCAAATGAGGAAATTGTCTTGGTCTCGGAGGAAAATCCTGTTACGTTCCCAGACCATATTGGTGGGTACCATTTGAGTGGTTTGTTCGCCGAAGATACCACAATTCCATACAGGGCACGCAGCTTCTGTGGTAGGTTGTTCACTACTCCTCAGCCAGATGAACGAGCATTAAACGGGGATGAAGATACTGAAGATGTGGTCCGTCAACCACTCAATTCAGCACCTGGAAACCTAGTTTCGCCGGACTCGCATTATCCAACGGGGAGACGTGCCAGTCTAACACCTTCTGATGCGGAGAATGAGTCAATGTTCAATGATCCTAACAATTACATTTATCATGATGACTCTGACATGTACATTGAGCCTAAAATCAATATATATCCCTCTGTTTTTGCGGAGCCTGCCGTTCCGATGGTTGCTGCACCAATTGGTTTCCCTGCGGAAAACATTTCTCTTCAAACTTCGACACCAAAGATTATTTACGCTCATGTTGATGGTCCAGCCCCTCCGGGCTCTGTATCTGGACCACTGTCGCCAAGCGAACCAGACTCAGTGGAACAAGGACTCTTCATGTTGGAGCTTAAGGGGCAGTTGTCGTTGGAGCTTGCGAAGCAAGAAATATTTCTATCAGAGCTTCGAAACACTTTCCCTGTCGAGGAGAATAGTTCTGATGTAGTCGATGAACAAGCTGAGGAGGTTATTGTACCTCAGAAAGTCCACCAACCGGGTGAAACTCACGCGGAAGAAATTGTACGCATGTACCGAATTCCACGCTACAGTCAATTCAGATCAGTCTTTCCTCTTCCTGGTTTCACCATTCCTTGGGGTCCCCACAATCCGATTCCAACCAGAATAGATGATTTCAGAGGTAACGACCCTTGGCTCCCAACACCATGGACCGATCCAGATGCGTACCACCAACTAAACGGCATTCAGAGGCGCTGGGTTCAGTTGGAGGTACGTTATCAGACAAGATTATTCTGGTTAGGCATGAACTTCAAAGCAGCAGTCCATCTTGAAGAAAATCCAGCGGACAAGCTGTACGCTTTCAATAATTTCTGTGGGTGGTATGGATGCCAGGCCGAAAAATGTAAACATACTCGAGTCGACGGACGTCTATATTTCTTTGATCTTGATAGCTACTACATTTCGTGGAAGAACCTTCGGGATGAGCAATTGTTACTTGACAACGAGCCAATTAGCGACTACGCTGCTCATGAGCCTGAGATTGATGCAAATACTCTTGAGCAGACAGCGCTTCATGAGCAAGAAGCCCGTGTGCAACAAGCCCAAGAACAAGAGGTTTCTCTAGTGGAACCTGCCGATGATCGTTACGCTGATCTCAATTCATCGTTACAGTTTGCCCAATCGGTAAAAGCAGCCAGAAGAGAAATGCTGAGCCTTATGGATTCTGGGGTTGCGGTGGCGAAAGTGAACTCCGTCATCATCCAAGAGGTTCTGGCTCGCAATGAAGCTCAGCATGTGGAGTCAAGACCAACACAAGTTCCAAATGCTCACTTTGGTCTCGCGATGATCAATGTACAAGCCCAACCAAAGCAATCTCGATGGGCTCAAGTGTTTGAAGCACAAGAGAAAGATAGTTGCTCCAAATCAGAGGTATCACAGGATGTATTTTCAAATACTTCTGAAAACCCTGTTCCAGTTGGCAATTTTGGTTTGACGATGGTTGATTTCCCTGTCGAACCAAAGAAATCTCGCTTTGCAGAGTTCTTCCCCGTGCAGCCTAAATCTGAGCAAGAAACACAAGACTTGGTTGCAGAGGATACCTCTAGAGATCCTGCTCCAGAGGTTCACTTTGTTTTACAGATGATTGAGATGTCTGTCCAACCAAGAAAGTCTCGATTTGCATCGCTCTTTGGAGCGCAAACATCGACTGAGCAAGGTATCGCTCCGGCCCTAACATCCGATAGTAAAGATTCCAAGGAAACACTCGATTCTCTCCATGGTAGCAACAGCAATGACTTGTCTACTCGTGATACCAGTATTGAACCACCGCAGAAGTCAAACATCAATCTAGAGGCAAACGCTGTGTCGGAGATTGATGTTGCATACGAGGAAGAAGAAGGTGATCTGTATAGTGCATCACCACTAAGAGGACCATCTCTAGCTCCAACTGCGCCAAATCAGTTCATGGATGGCTCCCTTGCCTCAAGGCATCAAGGTAATTTGCAACTGTCCGATGACCAGGGATCTTTGCTTGATGATCATGTCGAGAAAGTCGGTGGCTTCGTCATCGAAGATACAATGGAAGGCCCCGGTGACGATTCAGTCTTTGTTTTTGGAAAAGTTGAATTTCCTATCGAATCACCTCACGAAGAATCAAGCGAGATGCTTGATGGGGAACCATGGATACTCATCGAGATTGAGGATTGCTCTAGAGATATTGAATTTGAGGAAGTCCCAGAAGGAGTCGAACTTCCAGAAGACTTCTACGAGGAAGGATGGCCACTCGATGAACGCGAAGAACATTATCTGACACAGGCCATCAGAGAGGGATTGCAAGAAGAGCGTTTTGCAGTCATTGAGATTGTCAATGACTCTGAGTACTATGCCAATGCTCCTGATTCTGGATGGGAATCTCCGGAGGATAGTGATACCACTGAGTCCAGTTCCGATGATTCTGATGATTCTGATGAAAATGGCGGCGACACCGAGTCCGACACTGAATCTCGGGAGTCGGATAAAAATAGCGATCCTGCTGAAACCAAAGCCCTGGGATCAAATGAAAAAGACAATGACCCTAAGTCCAAAGTCCAGCAATTAGCCAAGACTGATGAGGGCACTGAACCCAAGTATCAATTCAGTCGCATTCCTGTCCAAGCCCAACCCGCTGTCTCTGTACTAGCTCTGGCTTTCCAAAAACCCACCGTCGCAGAGGTTGGATACCATGACAATACGCCTCTAGGTTTTACCAACAATCCAGACGCTTTTATCGACAGTGAGCCCCTTCCAATCCTGCAAAAAGAGGCAAACATGGTGCACTCTTCCAACATCATCCGACAGATTGACCTCGCGAGAGATGAGCTGATCAACCGCTGGATGAACAATGAAGATCACTATGATCCCGATGGACCAACTTGCACATACGTCCTGAAGGAAGGAGAACAATTTGGTGAGAGGATCTGTGAGGACATGCCTCAAGTATTGGCTCTGCGGATTCAAGATGCCGAGAACAAGCTCTGGGCTAGCGGTGCAACATTTGCAAAGATAGGACTTGCTGAGAAATCGAACGGTCCCAAGAGAAAGATGACCTCCGATTTGGACTTTGCTCTTCCTGGCCAACTCAACAATCGCTGGAAGCCAGAATTCGTCGCGAAGTGTATCAAAAATCTAGACATCACAAAAGCTTCTCTTTTCCTTGGTGAAAACGTTCTTTCTGATTTTGATGAGAATAAATCAACATTCTAAGTTGCCTGTTCATCATCAAAATCTTCGGCACTGTTCCTTTCGCCACGGGACAATGTCTCCTAATGGTTCTTCTGTCTCTCTTCTGCGTCTTTCTGGTGTAAACGACCACCTCTTCGCTTTCTTCTTCTTTTCTGCAGCATTCATCTATAACAAGCCGTGTCTCCTTTCAGCACTTCTCATCGCATGATACTACAGTATTTGGGTTATCGGGATATCTTGGGAACCGCATTGCATAGGGCATTCGGTCTGGATGGGATTGCATGATTGGCAAGGGTTTTGGGTTTGGCATTTTCTGGGATAGCATGGTATGGCATGGTGTGGAGTTTACATAGATTTTGCATGAGAGAGAATTATGAGATATTAATATGGCACGGAGTATGGCACGGTTTTGTTCTGGTTTGAAACGGAAATACCCATGTTTATACATAGAGTTTACAGTTTTAGGATACCTATTCCTTTTGGAGTTTTTGGTTTAATCTCCAGATACCCAGTTTTTGCATAGCAACAAGCAATTCAGAAATTATGGCTCCGAATGCAACTTTTCGTGGTGATTTTGTACATCTTCTCGTGTTATGGTTGTGAATTTCTTCTGAGATGTTGTAATACAACGATGATGCGATGGGTACATCCATAAGCGATATCAATAACGAGATTGTTTATTCAATCCGCCTGCTTCCGTTCCTCTATTTTCTCCCATTCCGTATGTACCGCCGATTTCCTATCACATATACCGTGCGTGGATATTCTCAAGCGAGGATGCCAACCCTCCTCTCCTTTAGATTATATGTCCAAAACTCACCAAACAAACCTTCGTAATAAACCCAAGCCACATACTTTACTTTCCGAAAGCAAAAGGGCAACCGGGAGTTCTCTCCTTCTCCAATTTCTCTTCCGTGCCCCTCATCTCATCTACATCCTCCCCTCGTTTCCTATCCGGCCCCACCTCCTCAAATCTATACCCCTCTGTGAACCAATCGCCCCTCTTCTCATCCGGTACAAATCCACCCATCGCCCTCGTAACCAAAGCTATTGGTCCCCAACGATTCCAGAAACCCGGGAGTTGATAATACGGATGCACGAGATAATCGTTACTATGATACCTCCCATCTACCCCCTTATCGTCCGAATCCGAGACTTGTCTAACTCTCATCCATTCTGGTCTTGGGAGTGATAGGTAGCGGAGAAATAATTGACGAGTGCGTAGTATAGAGATAGTGAGTAATTCATTGAGGCGCGAAGTTTTTGGATAGATCATTGCGGAGCGAAGAAGAGGACCCATAAGAACCCCAACTGCATCTCTCGCAAAGGGTAGTAGTGCCTTTGGGACCAGAAACAACAGAAGCGGAACCAATTCATCAGCCGTTTTCTTGTTATACTCATTCGGAACCATGAATTCCCTCTCATAACCCTCGGCCCACTTCTTGATATCCTCGAAAAATTCAATTCCGTCTCTCCATTCATTGAAACAACGAAGATCATGATAAGAAATACCCATCGCGTCACCAATCCCTTTCCAGAACGTAGCAATTGCACAAATCTCCATCTCATTCAGTGTTCTCCACTCCCAATCCCCAATCCAACTAATTGGTTCCGTAATGAAAACGCTCAATGTATAGAGCAAATCATCATTCGAAATCTTCCCCGCTTTTTGATATCCCGAATGCAAATAATTCATTCTCGAAATCGCTTTTAAAACTCTCGGGTGAAGGGGATGATGAGAAGAGAATTCTGTAATCAACACTGTTGTATCCGCATAACGTTTACTCGCTGTTTCCTTGGAACTGAACTATTTTGTGTCGACGAGGAGTTTGGAGATTGTAGGGATACCGTAGGTTTTAAAGAGAGCGAATTGAAGACTGGTCACGTAGAAACGGGGGAATTCTAATTCGCCTATGTGACCGATGATTGCTTGCGCATCCGTATTTGTCATGTTTTTCAATGATTCTCGGGTTTTGTAGCCGAATTTTTTAATCATCGAGTCTTGTCTCGAAAGGCGAAGGAAGTGGACTGTGAGGAGATATGTAGAGATGATGAAGAGCACGGTGGTTTTAAAGAGAGCTCCTACAAATGGTGGGGGGGGGGGAAGTAGACGATAGGGGCGTCAGTGGTACTGTGGTATTGATAGACATGATGAGAGGTATCAGAGGAGTGAAGTAAAGAGGTGTAAATTTTGTGTTGATAGTTGAGATGTTGACATAGATATGAGATCACTATCTCGGAGAATTTCTATCCCTTTGTTTGATAAACGAGGAAACAAACTAGGTCCCCATTCACATTCGAGCTTGACGGCAGTGATAACTCAATAACTAATTGAATATGAAGTATCAACAAAAGAGTTGAAAATTTCCGACCACAAGAAGTAGAATGACGAACGTGAGAGGTCTTCAGATAAAATAAGACGGCCACGTTAACGTTATCATGGATTAACCGATTTCCCCACTATGTGCATGTCCCTACTACATGCACAACTTTGAAAATATCAACATTATAGCTTCAAATATTGATGATATGCTTTTAGAAGCTTGTATAAAACTTGTATTAGATTATTTGAAAGGGGTTTAAGCTTTTAAATATATCTAGATAGCTAATTTCTTTAAAATTAATCGATCCATGCTTTTTCGGTGGTATAGAGGTAAAATTATCTCGAGAAAACAATTCCTTTCTGATACAAAACAAGTGCTTTCTAATAATCAGGAGGAGATTTTAGTTGATCAAATCAACAAGCTGATATAGAGATCTATCCTTTCTACAAGCTGTATAATCAGAAACCTTATAGAAGAGATTCTAGACAGAGAGATGGGAAAAAACTAGACTAGCAATTTTGTCAAAAAGTATTTAATATATCTTAAAAGTTGATATTTCTATTATATTAATAATTTGTATATGAAAATTGATAATATTATTATATTTGATTACTTTTATAATCTGATTTGAGCTATTTTTTATTATTATTGATTTTTATTATCTAAAACGCTTTTACTAATACCCTTCTTTTTTTAATTAGCACATTGTGCACTGCCGCAAAGTCCTCGCGACCTACGAAACCTGGCCCCCAGATATCAGGCCCAAATACCTACCCCGCAATTGGGCGGCTCAAGAACGACTACTGAAACAGCTAATGCACATACCAGCCAAGTTCGCTGAATTTATTGCTATAATAGATTTCTACAGGAGCATATGCCCTAGAACGCTATCAGAAGAATAGAAAGAGGAAATGGAAATGGACTGACCGATCCGGGTGAACACAAATATAGAATAGGAGGCGACCGATATAGCAAGGCTATAAAGAATAAAATCGATATATACAATACACTATATTTGTCACGGGTTCACTAGCGTAGTATATTAGCGTAGTGGATGCTTAGTTATCTTTGCTATTATATAGCAAAGTTATATTGTACCACTTTCAACCTCTTTGTAGAATATTATATATCCAATCTAGTACCTATCCTTTATATCGTGATAGTATATTCTATCTTTTTAAAGGTCCCATTGCTATATGTCAATAGCAATTCGATCTTGATAATAATACTCTGATAGAAACTTTGTTTTTATTCTTGTTTTTGTCCTTGTTTTCGTTTTTGTCCTTATCTTTGTTTTCGTTTTTATCTTTGTTTTCGCCTTTAAAATAACAAATATACTTGGTTTGTTGTTTATAGAAAATAGAGTTCAAATATTTGATAATCTTAAAACAAATATTCAAACTATTTTTACTAAATAATAATAACTTGTAAATAAATTTTCAAATATCTTCGACCCCGATCTTCAAAATCCAGTGCTTAATCTTTTTGAAAATGAATAATTATATTTATACTATTTATATAATATTATTAATAATTTATTAGAATTACTTTATAACATATAAATTAAAATGGATATAGATCTGAATAATGAGTATACAGCCCTGGCTGATATATAAATCTATTTATAAATCTAGATATAATTGAATATAATATTACAAAACTAGTTTTCCCAACTATTGCAAAACACATCAGCTTAGACTCTCAATTTATTTGTTAACATTTGATAACAAATCTCCAAAAACCTGAAAATCTTTAAAGAAAAAAAGACTAGTATAATAACACAACAAAACAAGTATCTAGCTTGGAAATAAGGATTACAAATCTGCTAAATATTTGATACTATTATATTTGATATTGAAAAGAAGAAACTTTTATATATAGTCTCCCTTATCAGAGAACATGTATACCAAAAACAATTAAAAGATATTAACAACATTTTATAAAATAACTCGATCTATACAACCATCAATTCATTCCTCAAAAAGCTTGATAGCCTTTATATTACAATTGACTTTGAGCAGGAAACAGTGATTCAATTCGATAAACTCAAGATACTGGAGAAATAGGTCTTTACAATATTCTATATATAATTAAAATATTTAGATAATTAATATTACAAGTTTGATTAAAAAATAATTCTTGTTTTAAAACAAAAAGTTTTTGAAGAATTAAAACTTATAGTTTGTATAAACTCAAGCCTCTATATACTAGATAATATCGAAGGGTAGAAAAAGAAATTCACAATTTGGAACCAGAATTGTTGGGAAAATAATCATTATAATATAGGTCCATCAAAAAACAACTATAATCAATCTTGATTCAATATAACCCCTTTTACACTTGTCACCACTTTATATAATGATTCTATAAAACTCGATATAATCAAATTCCAAAATAAGATACAATAACGCAAAAAGGAGTATTATCTTAATCTTTGCTATTACTATAAGAAATTAGATTATTCTGTTTGGAATTGCAATATAAAAAAACAAGTTGATATATAGCAAATGGCTAGAGGATATAATACAAGATCTCTAAAAGGAGTGTCAAAATACAGTCGCAGTAATACCGGAAGAGGAAACCAATAATTTGGTTGAAACGGACAATATCGAAGCAATAGTAATTACAATCAGAATGATTTTCGGGAATATAGTTATTAACAATAGCTCTACACGCGATAACAGCTTAATATAATCCATAGCTATATCGAGAATGATTCTTTAGTATTCTCGGAAAGTATCTTTAATATCTTTTTATATAATAGTATAATATCACTATTACTATCTAACAGTATATACGAGTTTCCGGGAAATGTATCATCTCTGTAATAAGTCAGTTGTAAAGATTATCAAAAAACAAGAAATGAATAAGATATACTATAGATAATATTGAGCTATTACAATTCAGCTCTATAAATAGCAAATCTCTACTTGTTCAAACTACTATATTTCTAACATACACTTTCGGGTTTAACCCTCTCTACTCTATATCTTACTATACGCACTTCGTATAGTAAGCGGGAACGAGTCCCCAGTATTAGTTTTCACTTACCCTATTGTTAAAATTCCTAATTTTGTACTTTAAAAGTTATCCGCTAGACCATTTGGCCTAGCCGTCCTATATAGTCATAGACTGAAGGTGGACGTTAATTAAATCAATCAATCAATAACATACACTTTCCCCTTTAATATGACCAATCTGATTGATAGCGGGTATTCCAATAAAGCATTCGCTGACCAATCATTTGTTAATTAATATAAAATTCATACTCAACTCTTATCCTATCGCCAATAGCTTTATTTAGTTAATAGCAATATAGTAAATATTATTATGGAATATTTTACTATACCTATAGCAATAGGATTACATTTAGAAATCTGGATATTCTTTATTACAAAACTCTCTCTTAATACACCAGTCATTTTTGACTTGCTATGATTACAACGCTATAACCCGTATATAGATTGAGCGAATATAATACTTTCTTTTACTTCTCGATACTATGCAACACAGTGTTGTTGCAAGGGGAGCTTGTGCCCTCAAGCACCTATAATTAAATCGATCCAGCAACAACCTGATAATACCTCAACTCTTCAAAATATTAATCCAAAGACCAAAAGGGTCTTGGATATGTTACCGCTATCAAAGGTCGTCTCCCAAAAAGCGTATAAAATGAAAGATTATCGATCACTATATATAGAGAACAATGACAAACTTGATAATGATTATGGATTTGAAAATGCTAATACAGAATAAGATATGTCTATTAAAACAACACTTACCTCTAATACAAACCACTATTGTATAAGGGTCTGTAATAGGAATACAGATATACAAGTACAGATAATACAAAACCAGCCAAAGATATACTTAGTAGTAGTAAATAAGATCGCAGAACAAAAACAAAGAAAACCAAACCTAGCAAGGGAATCATTATTACCCCTTTCAATATCATTATCAACAATTCGAGAATACAAAACAAGCCCAAATATAAAGAACATTCGATAGTTATATGCTTCGAGCTTTATTTCTTTTTATCAACAAAATAATGTTCATATAATACGAATCATCTGGAACGAGTTAGATCAGACTATAGTACCTAAATATAAGCTTGATTATATCTCTATAGATAATTTTGCCAAAATAAGCAAAGTTATAAAGATATACTTTAGGAATGTGATAGTCTGATAGAAACACTTTCTATAATACTATCATATTTATATAACTTTGTTTGAGATTGTTATAAACCAGTTTACCTACAAAGAATCTTTAAGATTAATATATCAAAGTTTTTAGTAGGAAAACTAGATCTTAGTAATAAAGAGATATAAAACATACTTTCTAATTGACTTTGAGACAAATTACCAGCTTT